TCATCCCGCCACTACCCCGCCACTCACCCCGCCATTCACCCCGCCATTCACCCCGCCACTCACCCCGATTTATTTATTGATGCATGTTTTTCCATTCTCAATCTTATTTGAGATAACATGAATATTATTTTATTCAAGCAACCCCAAAGTGCTGAATTAGTTTTATTGAAAATATTAAAGATTAAAACCAATATCAGGTCAAAAAAGGAACTTTTTTTCGAATGAAACTTCTAAGATTATCACTGAATAGTTTATAAAACCACAACACGTGTTTTTCACTATAAAATGAAACTCAACTACCATGAATAGTGTATTGCATAAATAAAACAGGTGTTGCGATTTTGTAAACAGTTTGGTAAAACTCTCACAATGAAGAAGATCAGATAATGAATATTGCCATTTGGCAAGTTTATATTTATATTGCATTTTCCCAGTTTATAGGTTTTTTTGAAGAGATATAAAACTTTGAAATGGAATGAAACAAAGATGATTTTTTGAATTGACATAAAATTTACTTTATTCGAAAGATAATCTTCTAGCATTACAATTTAAATATGATTTCTGGCATATTACCGCCACGATTGGTTCGGACGTTGTTCTAATCTGGAAGTCCAATTTTCGATCACTTTTTTCAACATTTGTGGCCGTTTTACGGTAATAACGCGGCAAATGTTGTCCTCCAAGTTGTCAATCGTTCAGGGCTCATCAGCGAAGACTATCGACTTCACATATCCCGACAGAAAATAATCTAGCGTAAATTGGACCCGTAAATTAGAGGCCAATTTACATTCTCTGCTATTCCGGATTTGCTGGTTTCTCCTCGCTGTATGTTTTTCTTGTGCTCAGCAATGCGAACTTTCAATGGCCTCTTAGTTTTACCGATGTATGATTCTCTGCACTCGCAGGGTACCCGGTAAATGCAATTCTTGGAATCGCAGTCCGCGTTTGATGGCCTGGTTTTTGTTAGGCTGCTACGGATAGTGTTCCCAGACCTGAAGCAGGTTCTGATGTTGTACTTGGATCCAATCGTTCTTATCCTTTCGGATAATCCTCTGTTGTAGGGAAGTACAAGTACTGGTTGTGGCGGCTTCTCTTCTTTGTGGAGTTCTTGCTGTCTTCTAGCTAAGACCTGTTCTACCATCACTCTAGAGTGACCATTCCGTTGTAGGTCATTTTTGATGATGCCTAGTTCCTTATGGAGACCTTCCTTTGTATTACTGACCCAAAAGCACGGTCTAGTAAAGTCTTGATGATTCCTCTCTTAGTCGATTGATGGTGGTTGGATTTCTGGTTCAGATACTGTCCTGTGTGAGTGGGTTTTCCATATACAGATGTTTCCCATTTAGTGTTGGTCCTCTTCTCCAATACGTCTAAGAACTTCCTTCTTCAACGTTGTTGATGTGCTTCAGGAAAGTGTCTAGTTCTGCATTCCCATGGTTCCATATTATGAAGGTTTTGTCTATGTATCTCAACCAGACTCGGGACTTCTTGTGGACTTCTTCAATGGCCAGAGTTTCAAACCACTCCATATATATATATTGGCTATAACAGGTGAAAGTGGCGATCCCAATGGTAGCCCCTCATCTTGCGTAAAGAAATCGCCCTTCAGTTGAAAGTAGCAGTTTCGTACACAGCAACCTAGTAATTCCATGATTACTTGTATCGGTAAGTTTGTTCTATCTTTCAGGTCCCCGTCATCGGATAGCTTCTTCTGTATGATTTGAAGTGATTCTTTGACAGGAACGTTGGTGTAGAGGCTTTCCACGTCGAAACTGATCAGTTGATCTTGCTCTTTGACTTCGATTTCTCCTAGTAGTTCAACGAAATGACTTGAATTTTTCACAAAAGATGATGCTTTACCTTGCAGTGGTCCAATTATTGGTAGTAAAAATCTGGACAATTTCTGAGTGGCTGAATCTCTGGAGCTAATGATCGGTCTGAGCGGAACATCCTTTTTGTGGATTTTGGGTAGTCCATACAGGTGAGGGGGCTTACTGTGGTGCGGTGTTAGCGATGATCACTCTTTTTCCGTGAATAGACTTCGTGTTTTTTCAAATTCTGGTACAACTTCCTTTCAATTGATGCAGTAGGGTCTCTTAAGATCTTCGTGTATTTTCTTTTCTCAAGCACCTCTTCGATTTTCTGTTCGTAGAGATCAATATCCATCACAACAGTAGCGTTTCCCTTATCTGCAGGTAAGATCTTGATGGTGTTGTCTCTCTGTAGCCCGTTCAGAGCTCTTCGTTCTTCATTGCTGAAGTCAGAAGTTGGAACTGGTTCTCAAATCAATCAATCTCAAATCAATTTATATTATATTAGACAATGGAAGTTCAAACTGATGAAATACACCACGAAACATTGTCAACCACCTTCAAACAATACGATAGAAGGTCGCCTGTTGATCTTTGTTTCCGAAAACTATATTGATGACCGCTCAAGATGTTGATGTTTTCCAAATATTTGAAGATATGCTGGTTTACGGTTCCTCAAAGATTTTTGATATCACTGAAATCAAAGCGACTGGTTTATAGTTATTTGGAAGTATATTTTGCCCTTTTGAAAATCTTCCAACAAGAAGGAAAAATCCCTTTCTTGTAAGACAGGTTGAAAAGTCTGCAAAATACTGGTGTGAGTTCATGAATTCAAAACTTCCCGAAAAAATCTTCTGCAAAGTATGTAAATTTATAAACTGAAAAATTCCCAATTATCGAATTTATTTGAATAACTCTCTTTTGCTGAGTCTGTTCTCTTTACTCTGTGATAATCATCAATCTATTCTAGATCCATATCTCAATTTATTGCTTCTTTTCAGCCCACTACTGTATGATGTCGTTAAGCGATTTTCTGCCAATTTTTCTCTACAAATTCAAATTGAACCAGAGCATTGCCGAAACAGCCCGAAAAATCAACCAGGCATTTGGCAATGAAAGTGTTAATGAACGTACCATTCCACGAAATTTCATTCTTGGGATTTTAGCCTTAAAGATGAGCCCCAAAGTGGTCGACGTACAGTAATCCAAGACGAGAATTTGGAGATCATGTTGAAGAGTGACTCATCATAAACAATGACGAAAGAACTGAGTGTCAGCTCCCATGCGATTTTTGTTGGTTTGTTTATTGTCTATTCACCCAGAAAAAAAGGGAGTTTTTTCATTATTCACAGAATGTTTTTTAAGTTATTGAATTTAGAAAGTGTACCGCTTAACTTTCTGATTATTTCTTTCATATGTAGGTGCCATCGAAAATGTCTATCTAAATGGATACCTAGATATTTCAATGACTCGCCTTCAGGTATGTGATTATTGTTTCCTATATTTAGGGGTCCCATATTGGGTAATATACTGCAGTATGATGTGAAAGGCAAATATTTGGTTTTTTCGAAATTGATCGTAAGTTTATTGTGACAGAACCATTTTTCGATCTCGATGAAATCTTTTCATGCAGACATTTTCAATTGGTCGGTACAGTCGGTATACAAGACAGCCGTATCGTCAAAATTTTAACTTTTGTTGGTAATCCAATCGTACTTTCGATAAAGTGGCAAACGTAGATATTTTTTCACAAACTACAAAACCTCTCAATTGAATTATGAAAAAGAAATTATGAAAATATTATTCCACTGTTAGTCTCTTGAAATTTATCGATAATGATAGTTTCTTAAATCGCACATTTTATGTATGAATACATGATCAAAAATTTCCCCCAGGGAAACAAAAATAACTACAAATTCCCTGGGAGTAGTTGAAAAAATGCAATATTATGGTGAGAATAACCGCAGATATATAAAAAATTATAAATTCTCCATGGGAATCAAATCGAAGCTAATGAAGTGTATCATCATCCCGACAATAATGAACACATAAAAAGCGATGTGTATTATTTGAATAAATTGAATATAAATTTACATATTCCATTACAGAAGAAACAATAACCGTCAATTCAGTAGGATCGATTGAAAAAAAAACAATAATCGAAGTTCCCATCTACAAACAATCGCAATGGTTGAATGCACCTAGAATGGCTTGTCCAGCGGCTTAGAATAGAACGAATCTGATAGCACAGTCATATAAGTCAAAAACTTTTTCTTGAGTATACGAAAAAATATTGGATAGTAATCAACTGCTTTTGTTAAAATATTCGTTCAGAAAATTACATAATTGTAATGTAATGGAAGTAAATGATTTGAAAACTTTAGTTTTATAACTGTTTTTCGTGTGGGGTCATCATTTTTC